TTTTTTTTTTTTTTTTTTTTTTTTTTTTTTTTTTTTTTTTTTTTTTTTTTTTGAACTTAGCTTTTTTGGTAGTTTATAAGTTTATAGATCAGGATCTATTGTTTTTGGTATCCAGCTTATACAAAATAGGAGGAGAAGATGAATCAGAGGTCATAATCGTACCGCTGGTTAGAAAATTGAATAACTCACTATAAATATTATATCATTCTCATATTTTTAAAAATGAGTGATTCTACCTGAAAATATTAGCTTTACTGATAAAATCATCTGTCCTAAAGATAAATGCACTAGGTTGGAATAACAGCAGATGTGAAAAGAAAATTTAGCAACTGATTTTGATATCAGATCAAGAAAGATTATGAATTTCAGTTCTTGAGTTAAAAAAAATGAGTATTTCATCATCTTGTACTTCATTTTTTTCTAGTTTTTACCTTGTTTTCATTTTTTCCAAATTAAACTCTAGATAGATTATAACAACTTTTTATTGCATGCAAATTCTTCTCATATTTATATGAAATCACATATTTGAAAAAAAGGAAATTCAGAAAAGGCTATTATGCATTTTTAATCCATTAAAGGTTAGTACAAATATATCTGCTTTTTATTAAATAATCACTGCTCTTTATTAAATAATTTAATGAATTATTAATAATATTTTTTATGATCAGTGCTACTGCTAACGGCTAAGTAGCATGCAAATATATGTAGCATTGAGAATAGTTGTCATTTCTTGTTAGAAGGCAAATATTTGTAATTTCTCAAAAAAAAATGACAAACAAGGTAAGTTGTTGCTGACTAAGTTCTGTTGGAAACAATACCATCTTTGAATACCTTTCAACTTTATTGGAAGGTTAGCCTCACATTATTTGTTGAAAAGATGTGATCCTATTAGAAGGCAAATACTATTAGTTGTTCAAATAAATGATACACATACTATTTTTATTTTGAAGTGTGTTTTAAAGTCGAGTAAAATTTTTTTAATGATTTTATTTACACGTTTAGATCATCAACATTTCTGATATCGTAGTGAATCTTTCAGCAAAAACAAAATACTAATTCATGAGAAAGTCTTTTAATGAGAGACTCAATACTAATTCATGAGATAGAAGTAGAGAAGAGATTCTTTTATGAGAGACTCATACAATTCATGAAAAAAACTCTTTTTACTTCTCAAGTTTGTTTGTTATACTTTTCAGAGAAGTTAAGTGCTATTTTATAAATAGGGTTAGCACCGAAGCACCCGTGGCCTAATGGATAAGGCGTTTGACTTCTAATCAAACGATTGTGGGTTCGAGTCCCACCGGGTGTGTTTGTTTTCTTTTTTTTTGACTTTTTTTTTCTTTTGATATAACTTCTAGATAATTAAATAATGTGCTGATATGTCGAAAATGTGAGAATCCTAAGCATCCTCTCCTCTTGAGTTATTTATTTCAATAATAGCATACATATTTGCACAAATAAACAAAAGTATCTAATCTATTAAAAGAGAAGTACAAATAAGAAATACCCCTTAATTTTTCTAAAGAATTACTATTGAATGCCATTATGTTTTTTTTGTCATTTAACAACATTCCTAAATTACCTAAATCGATTTACTTATTAAACCAACAATATCGGCTCTCCTTAACGAAGCAAACCTCGGTTTTAGTTGGAATGTCCTCCTAAATTCCAGATTGGTTCAACTGTTTTTCATCACTAACCAGCCATGTAATTAAATACACGGATATACTCCTAAAGTTCATATCACTGTTTATTACGTTCATAATTCTTCAAATTGTGATTCATTTTAATATTGTTTTCATGATTACCACTAAATCAATTCTTCTGAAAATTTCATTCATGTTTTTGTTACAGTGATCGTATGGAATTTGTTCCGTTTACTGTAAAATCATGAATAATACTAAAATCAATGATATTCTATAGAAAGCTCATCTTTCCATAAGACCTCCTATTTTTAAGTAAATCTTTCAAATAAAATATGTACTAAACAATTGAATGGAATATTCCTTTTCTTATATCACATAAATTGTAAATGTATCAATCTTTTCATTAATTATCATTTCCTTCAAAACAATTACTAGATTTTGACCCGCACATCCGTGTGGGTAACTTTTCATTTGATAAATATAAATTTTTTATATTATATTTAATATATAATCATTTTATATAATATACTGCTGTTATTTTAAAAATAAATAAATATATAATATTTTCTTTTAAATATAAAAAATGAACATATGTTAACAATTTTATTTTGTGTAAAATTTATTACATAATTTACGAATGTTTAATCTTTGTTAAAGATAAATGATATTTTAGTCACTTAAATGGTGGATGATATTTTATTAACTTATTTAAATGTTTTTTTCTCAAAATATATTAATTTACCAATTTAATACATTTTTAATATGTAATTCATTTATTACTTCTGTTTTAATACAATATAGACTATACTTATAAAATTTATAAAGTTAGCATAGAATTTATTATATTTTTTTATAAAAATTAATTACGATTAATTTATAATAATAGTTTACTACTGTTTACGAAATTAATCAGTTTATCAATTAAAAAGTATTTAAATTTTTTGAAAAAGATTTTGTTAGATTTTTTCTCAATAGATTTAGTGATTAGTAAAACTAAAATTTAAATTACAGTTAAAATAGATTTGTTACTAATATCCTTATAATTATATAAAAATGTTATACATTAAATAAACTAATGTAAATAAAAAAAATGTAACTGAATATATGAACCTACATATGACTATTTTGTAGTAGATAAAAATGATATTTTTCTTTTAGTAGAGAAGACTAGATTTTGACCCGCGCTTTCAAAGCGCGGATTTATGTTTGATGCAAACTTTATATAATCTCAGTTCCTATATATGTAGAATGTGAGATATACTTCTATGAAATTCTAAATACATGAATATTTTTTTTATACGGAATTATACTTCTATGAAATTCTAAATACATGAATATTTTTTTATTAAAACACATCATAATCGTTAGGATTTTGAATATTACAAGTTTAAAAATCTAATAGCAACTAACCAAATAGATCGACCTATTTGAAAAATGATTAATAAATTTTAAATTTTTTCGCCAAGAAATTAAGTCTATATGCGATTCAGCCAAGAAATTAAGTCTGTATGCGATTCAGTTTCGTCTCTATCAGTGTTGATAATAGATCAAACTGATGTTCACTTTCATACACTTACTTTGAAAACAGTGTTCCTTTTAATATCAAAACTATGCTAATTTTCATGAAAAATATTAATAAGTTTCAATCATAAATTTTCTAAAAGTGAAAAGAAAAAACCTTTAAAATAAATAAAACATTTTTCAATTTCTGAAAAAAAAACTAAATCTAATCTATTAAAAGAGAAGTACAAATTTAAATTATCCCTTAATTTGTACAATATTTACAATTCATTTCCACTGAGAATTAAATAAATCGACAGTTAAATAATCATTATCTTTTCTTATTTTATTAAATCATTTCTTAAATCAAATTTAGCTATTTTTTTCCGATCAAGAAATTTCCTAAAATGATTTAGCTAAATTTTAGGAAAATTCAAATTTAAAAATTTTTAATTATATAATATTCCTCAAGTATCATATAAATTTTAAACATTTAGTTTATAAGGTTTAAAATATATGTATTGATAATTTTTTAAAATTATGACCCATATGTAATCAAAATATTAGAATATTATATAGCTGGGAAACAATTTCATGTTAAAAAGACATTAATACTCAAACATATCAATATTTGTTTTCAACATGTAAACTATTTCAATATGATGTTTATAATAATTTTAAAATAAGATAAATATTTAGAATATTAACTAATAAATATTTAAATAATATTTTATATATAAAAGTGAAAATAAATACCCGCACGGGCGTGCGGGTCAAGCTCTAGTAACAAATTAATTGGAAGGTTAGCCTCAAAATTGATCAAACTTGCATTGATCAAGAGTAGTTATTGACGGAAGGGACGTACCAAGTAACGCAGGAGATCTTTTACTAAGTCACTGGTTGTGAGGTTCCTAGTTCTGAGTTGAGAAGATTCCATTCTCTTCTCTAATTCTTTGAGCTCTCCGGGTGTGTGAACTCCAACACTAAACATAAACACACAACACTGTCCGGATTAGAGGACGAACAATACTGAAACAAGGATTTTTTCAGTAACAGACTTACTTTTCAGACCCAAATCTATACTTGAACTCGGTTATGTTCATTGGTGTGCAACCTGCACCATATCAAATGTATCATATAACCGGATTAACTGTTACATGCTGTAATAACAAACACGTGCCAATTTCACAGAATTGCTTAAAGCTTCCATGTTTTTTTCCGGCAAGAGAGTAGCAATTCACTACTTTAAAATAATACATTACTTTAAATTTGTGTAGTTTAGGATGATCCAAAGGTGTAGCCCACGGATAGCTCTAGATTTTTTTTAGAATAGTTAATACATTACTTTAAAATAA